TTGGAGAGAGAGAGGCTTTCCCTAAAGCCCCAGCTGGCCGGGAACTCACTATGTAGACCAGGCTGGCTTTGAACTCTCAGAGATCCACCTCTGAGTGCTGAGACTAAAAGGCATATGTTACCATGTCCGGCTTCTTGAAGTGGATGTCTACGTTTATTTTCCATGAAAGAAAATAGAGGTTTGAACAGATGACAATATATCAATAGGACACTGATGTCAAAGCCATCCAAGGATAGAAGTAGAATTCACACCCAGGTCTGTTCCATGCCAGTGACAACACTAGGCTGTGCCACAGCTTTGAGAGTGGAATCAAGTATGGACCTGCCTCACACTCCTCTAGGCCAGGTGCCTCCAAAGTCAGAGCCCTCAGGTTATCAATGATTGTGACACCTCTTGAGTTGTTTTACTGCTACTTCATGTTTCCTTCATTCCTGAGGATCACTTCATTTGTGCTAAGGACAATGGCCTGACTCTATGTATGTGGTGACAATGGTAGTTTCGCTCTTGGATCAAGTAATGCTCTATTCTTTGAGGAGACTTGGTTCCTGGTCTTTTGTCCCAGAAGAAACCTGAGCTTGGTTTCTCATGGTTCACATATCAGTCCCAAGTGCCAGCATCTGTCTCTGTGCTTTCATCTCTGAATCAAGATACATTCTCTCTGATGTGTAAAAATGAGCTATTCTCCCTATTATCCTTTTTACTGGGAAAATAATAGCTGCTTTTCCTGGATTTGAAGATCAGGGCTATGTGGTATGGACTAGCCAGGCTGTCAGAGGCCAGGTTTGAGTCTTTGTAGAGTTGTCTGTGTGGTTATGACTGAACTTCAAATGGGAGACACTAGGACATGGAGAAATAAGCTAACAAGGTGACCACTTGTGAGACGCTCAAATCACAGAAACTTCAGGGAAGAGGTTTACAAATTATCAAGGAAGGCTTTAAAGAAAGCGGAATCACAGGAGACAGAGTCACAAGATGGACCCCTTATTGTTAGAAACCATCAGCCAGTAACAAACATGTGATTGCCCAAGTATGCCTGGAGATTGTTTGCCTTCTGCTTATGTGAGCAGTAGGTGCACAGGATCATCAGTAAGTCTTTGATGTAAGGGCAAGATGCAGATAAGGACTAGACATCAAGTCATGTGTGGACTGGTAGGCAAGTGTTCTACCACTAAGCTATATCCTCAGCCTTCTTCCTGTCTTAAACACATGTACATCTCTTCCTAGCTATGACACTGAATATCCCTTCAGCCAGAATGCTCCTTCTCCACACATCTCCAGGCTTTCTTCCTTAACCCCAAATATCATCTTAGTGAGACCTATCCTAATAAAGCATGGAAGAGTAGCTTAAGGTTTAAAATTGCACTTTACTACTTCTGGTCTATGCTCAGTCTGTTTTTGTTATTCATTTGTGTGTGTGTGTGCACATGCATGTGGTGATCAGAAGAAAATTTGCTTGAGTCTGCTCTCTCTTATCCTTGTGGGTTCCAGGTTGTCAGGCCTGGCAGCAAGTGCCTTTGCCCACTGAATCATCTTGGCAACTGAGTACCTGCAATTTAAGAAAAAAATTATGTATTAGTTTACTTTATGTATGAGTGTGTATTGCCTGCATGTGTGTAAGTGCCCCCATGCCATGTAGTGCCCGAGGAGGTCAGAAGAGGGTATCAGACCCCCCTTGGAACTGGAGTTACAGTTGTTAGCTGTCATGTGGATGCTGGGAATCAAACCAAGTCCTCTGTAAGAGCAGCCAGTGCTCTTAACCACTGAGCCATCTCTCCAGCCCCAGTCCTTGCAGTTTTAATACATCCCTTTCCTATCATGATTCACTTGTCATTGCTGTCCTGAGGGTCTCCAGGCATTGCCTCAGCCCCTCAGGGCAACCTCTGCAGCACAGCAGCCTGGAGGGGTCAGAGGCCAACCCTGTGTGCTATTCCCAGTCTTTTATTCACCCTAGCCTCTATTTCCTTCTAACAAATAAGGAATGTAAGGTTCATACAACCTCTGAAGGGGGACGGAGCTCAATGATACAGTGCTTGCCTAGCATGTGCAAGGCCTTAGGTTTGATCCCCAACACCAAAGCAATACATATATGTGTTGAAAACACTTTTTTTCTTACCTTTTTATTCCAGGTCAGGGGATAAGGCCAGGCAGTTGGATGGTTGGTCAGTGAAGTGCAGCTTCTCAGGAGAGTCCCCCTCACTAACTGGTCTAGTATTTTTAGCACACTTGAACACTTATTAAACAACAGTCAGAACCATAATGGGAACCACTTTCTAGGATGACCTTAAAGTCAGCTTCCTTATCAGGTAACTTCTCTTTGCGACATGTTACTCTTTTTTCTTTTTTTAAATTTTTAAATTTTCTTGAATATCATACATGACTATAGTCTTTGCATTATTTCCATCCCTCCCAATTCCCCTCCTACTTCTCCCATGTCCCCTCAACTCCCTCTTAAGTTCTTGTCCTCCTCTTTGATTATTGTTACATATCAATATATACATTTATATATGTATATTTGCACACATACACATGCACGTATGCACACACGTTCACTGAGTCTATTTAGTGGTGTACCTATGTTTAGGGCTACCCACTTGGAATTAGGAGCTAGTCCCTGGAGAAAACTGATTCTTCCTCCCTCAGTAATTTCCTGTAGCTCTCCATCTTGATGTGGGACCCCTTGGGATTTATCCCACCCACCTTTGTATGTTAACTGGTTTTGTCCTTATATGCAGATCATGTTAGGCTGCCATATTGTGGCGATTTAATTGGTGTAGCTTGTCTAGAATGCCTTTCCGTTTTGATTTTTTTGAGATAGGATCTTAAGTAGCCCAGGCTGGCTTCAAACTTATTATTGTAGCCCAGGATTACCTTGAACTATTAATCTTCCTGCCCCTACCTCTCAAGTGCTGGGATAACAAGCTCAATGAGTAACAATGTTATTCTTATTCTTTAATATGTTCAAATGATTCCTAGACATGGAAAAGTGGTCTAATTCATGCATAGAAATAAAAATCCCAATTGAAACTCACTGATGTTGTTTTCCATCTATTGGACTGGCAGAAAGCAAATGTTTGATAACTGTTGAAGAGGTTTGGGGAAAACAGATGATTTCTTGCATTGCTTATAGGAATGTAACTTGACTTAAAATTATATGGGAGTACTTTAGTAAAAAATCTATGAAAATGGGCCGAGTGTGATGGTGCACACCTTTAATCCCAGCACTCGGGAGGCAGAGGCAGGCAGATCTCTGTGAGTTCAAGGCCAGCCTGGTCTACATAGTGAGTTCCAGGTCAGCTGGGGCTACGGGGAGACCCTGTCTCAAAAAGACCAACAAACAAAGGCATGGAGACAATCTGAATATGGACTGGGGTCCTATCACATTTCTGAACACTTGGTAAACTCCAGGCACTCTGCTAAGATGCTAAGATATATAAAAAAATATATATATATATATGTATATGATGTATCTGTAAGGTTGCTCACAGCATTGTTTTTATTTACTCATTTAGCTATTTGCTGTGTGTGGTGGGGGTGGGGGTGTGAACTCAAGCCTAGAGCTTGTGACATAAATTCTTTTCCACTGAGCTACACCCCCAGCCAAGGATTGCTTTCACTAAGCTTGTAAACCATTCAAATGGTGGTAATAAAGAACTTGCTAAGGCTGGAGAGATGGCTCAGAGGTTAAACGCACTTCCTGCTCTTGCAGAGGGGTCAAGTTCAATTCCCAGCACCCACATGGCGGCTGACAATCTCCAGTTCCAAGGGATCTGATGTGGATGCTGCCTCCTAGCCTCTATACACAAGGGTTCTCTTACATACATGCAGGTAAAAGACTCATGTACATAAAAATAAAAAATAAAGAACTTGCTAAATAAATGATTAGAAGAATTTTCTTGGCATGTATTTTTGTATGTTTTCAATTTTTAGCCAAATGGATGGGGTTTCTCTCCAAAAGCTACATTAAAAACATGGAATCCAGACACCTTCTGAGTGTGACAAGTTAGAATAACAAAGTGATATTATGAAACCATTAAGACAAGGGTGTCAAAACCAAGAGCGGAAAAAAGTCAGGCTCAGAAGATTAGATTTTGAAGAGGCCACACCCACATTCTCAAGCAAGGTCAAGCTTAACTTGAAGTTTCTTTTCCCTCCTCTGTAACCCAATCCCTCAGGCTATCTGGTAGGCACTTAACCTT